CCACACCTACCTAAAACGGCTCATTCTAACACGCCCCCACATGTCTGCGTCACGACGTGGGAAGATTTGCATAACGCCGCCCAAATGTTCACGCAAAGAAAGAAGGCATAACTTTTATTCTCGCTGTAGTATTGTTGTTGCCGCCGACGCCATGTCGTGAAGGCGCTGTGTGTTTCGTTGTGAAAGCTAAACTACTTTGTTTGGCCTTCCAAAAGAGGACGATATCCGCTTCGTCATGCCTAGAGCTGATCCGTGCTGGTTGCTGAGGAAATACATCAACTTCGCGCTGTGGATCGCCGGATCGGCTTTCACCGTGGACGAAGCGGAGTCCAGCCCGGGGTCGTCACATTGCACAAGCCCGCCGGACGCTCCTTCGTCGAATCCGCTGGCAGCGCCGTTCTCAAGCCCGCCGGCTGTTCCTTACTCAAGCCCGCCGGCCGCCACTCACTCTAGCCGCCGGCCTCCGCTCACTCTAGCCCGGCTGCCGCTCACTCTAGCCCGCCGTGTGTGACGCTGCGTGTTTCGTTGTGAAAGCGAAACTACTTTGTTTGGCCTATACTAACCTCGTTAAACTCGGGGTTTAGAGTCTTCTTCTTCACTGAGGTTTTGTATTTGGACTTTTTCCCCATGTCAGGCTGCAAAACACTGATAAAGAGAAAGAGAAAGAGAAATAGCCAGAAATTAATCATTGCTCTGCAGTGAGAATTTTATAACTTCTCAAACATCAAAGCAAATCATTAGCCCGGTTTGTTTCAAGCTCACAAAACATCCATGACACAATCAAGGCATGGATTGACACAATCAAGGCAGAAAAAAAGCACACCCTTGTAAGCTCATTTTAGAGCATGACGAATTCTAGAGAGAGAATAGAGAGAAAGAGACCTTGTATAGTGAGGTGGCGATGATGGTGTTGTTCTGGGTGATTCATTCAATCTATTACAGACTGAGAGATGATAATCTCTAATTGAGGATGGATGGAATGAATGGATTGAGAGGGTGTTGGAGGACAGATGATGCATCCACAAGATCTGTGGCTCATGGAGTCATCAGTGGATAACCAATCAGGACTCATCATTTATTATTCATGAGAGATATCAGCCTACACAACATGTTACAAGGAGAGAGATGGAGAGAGATGTGTGATGTGAAAAAAAAAAAAAACCCGCATGGGGATATGATGCAAGAGACATATTGCCATCTACATGGATCCATGACGAGTTATGAAACCTGCTTCCCGTACCCGAAGCAGTTACATAACACATAGAGGCTGAACAACATTAAATTGACTATGACTGAATCGTGCCGGTGTATATTTGCACGACATCTGTGTTGTTAGAGGCTGATTAAGTAAAAGAATTAAACTAATCAAGTAACTGCAATTCAGAAACATAAATTAGCTTTTTAAAATGACGAAAGCACACATGACTAGACTGTACGTCTGGATATATGCTGTTTTTGGTGCTTTTCTCTGTCATTTGATGAATATCTGCTGCTATGATCAAAAGAAAATTATCAGAGCATATAATACAAACACAAAAATCTCTCAAATAAAATGAATTTAAATAATGCAACGTTAACTGGCAAATAGCACTGCATTCTGTGAATAATATACATAAAAAATATAACCATATATTATATAAAATATATAATAATAATATATAATAAATTACATAAAACCAGCTGTTTTAATATATTCCCAAATTTTATGAGTGACCCATTTGTTGAATTTTGAACTCAATTAATTCAATTTCAGTCAATTGAAGTCATCCAATTGACTGAAACATTCAAAAACACCAATTCATTCATAAACAAAATTAGTTCAATTAAAAAGTTCTATTTATAGATAAATTCCCCCGAACATGTTTAATATGCAATCTTTGATCATGCTCTAAATTTGAAATATATGCAGCCAAAGAAAAGTTATGGGAAACAAATGAGTTCACTCCAAGTCCCTACAGCGTCTTTTTGAGATGTTGCGTATGCGCAGTCACAACAAAATTAACAAATCAGTCTCTGAGACAACTTGTTTTTCCAAAGACATATCAGATATTCACATAAAAGAACAAATCATTCATGAAAGACTGTACTACACAACTGCGCTGAACACACAGTTCTGTGACTATTGTGTCTTAAATTAGTTTCTTATAAGTTTATTTATTGAACTGGTGTATAAAAGCAATAACACACTTGCAATCACGCTGTCAGTTTCCATTAAATGTCAAATGGATAATATTGACGGATTATCATTTAACAGCACAGCGTGTGTTTGTGCAAAAAAAAAAAAGATTTACCACTGGATAATAACCACTGGACTAATGACACACTATTGAAACTAATAATAGATGCTTGAGTGGTGATTCAATATAAAATTAGCCAATCTTTAGATAATAATTGACTGATTTGCTGGTACATGTCAGGATATTAATCAGAATATTAATGATGTTTTATTTTTGTGTGACAAGCTTTATATCACTGACAGGATGATTTTGCATTTCTAATGGCTTTTTACTGTCCTGTAAAAAGTGTTGGATATTAATTGGACGTCATTTAAATTTACAACATTTTTGGATGGGTTCCCCTACCCCAGGCCCAATGAATAGACAGGTGTGGGACATGGGACATGTTCCAGCTGTTTCCTTCATGTCTTCATGGAAAGTTGTGACAAAGACATCAACGGTTTGTCAGACCTTGAAAGGCGGATAAACTTGATTTAAATGGCAAAACTGACTGATGCTAAGCATGCTAATATTAGATGCTATTACAAAAAGCATGAGGCACATAATGTCCTTCTCAAGAAGAGCTGCAGGAAATTTCATTCTTGATACCACAGGGTTCACTTCAGATCTAACCCTAAGGAGACAACTGTCGTCATCTGGGTAATTAAAAGAATAACTGTCGTCCTGGAATAGCCTGTCTACAATGACAACCGTCAGTCCTGAATGAAAGAAGAAATTTGGCATGGACAGAATTTTTCTTCTTCTTGTCTTTTCTTCAGTCTTGAGTATTGGAAATCATTGTGTAGGAAATTTCATTCTTGATACCACAGGGTTCACTTCAGATCTAACCCTAAGGAGACAACTGTCATCATCTGGGTAATTAAAAGAATAACTGTCGTCCTGGAATAGCCTATCTACAATGACAACCGTCAGTCCTGAATGAAAGAAGAAATTTGGCATGGACAGAATTTTTTTCTTCTTGTCTTTTCTTCAGTCTTGAGTATTGGAAATCATTGTGTAGCGAGGGCAAATTCAGATGAATAAGAATGACATTTTCAATATGTTGACTCCCAGTCTATTGGGCCCTATTCTTACAGAGCAAGTTCAGTTCATAAGAGGAATGGTAAAACAAGAAAAAAAAAATAATTTTACATAATATTTACATATATTAAAGCTGAAGTGTGTAATTTGTAATTAGTGCAAGCAGCATAAAATTAGTGTGTAATTATCATTCCTGTAGCTCAAACAGTAGCAAAGCTGAAGGTCATGGGTTTGATTCCAAGGGTGAATGCATGAACTTATAAGAAGTACACCATGAAAGCAATGCTTTCTGCCAAATGTAAAAGTAATTTCTGTGCCACTAGTGCCATCAAATAAAAAAATGTGTATAAGTGTGCCTACATCCCTTCTATATTATGCAGAATTCATCAGATGAATATTATGTCCAAATACACAGTATTCATAAAATACTAGCTAAAAAAGTCATGAATAGCCTACTGCTACCACCCAGAGTCACAAGTATCCAATAGACACTTTACTATCCAATGAGGCCACGAGAGAAATGTAGTGTGTGCTGTAGGATGTAGTACGTCCGGATTGAATTACTACACACAGTGGCGTTACTTTACTTTGAAAAGTGGTGGGGACACCGCGCAACTCGTTTTGCTAGTTTTTATTTAATAACCTAATTTACTTGGGGACTGGGTTTAGAGTTGGACAGACTTAATTTTTGCTTTTCAAAAATACATCGATGTACCAGGGGCGGCGCCAGAGAATTTTGAGCGCAGGTGCTGAGGGGGTGCTAGATCATTGACAGAGGGAGCTGGGCAATTCAGGGCTCCAGACTCATTCTTCCCACAAATACAGTAAAAACAGTAATATAAAGTAACTTTTCTATTTTAATATATTTTAAAATGTTATTTATTCCTGTGATAGCAAGTTGAATTTTCAGCATAATTCTTGAGTGTCACATGATCCTTTACAAATCATACTGATATGCTGATTTGCTGCTCAAGAAACATTTCTTCTTATTATCAATGTTGAAAATAGGTGTGCTGCTTGATATTTTTATGGAAACCATGATATCTTTTCAGGATGTTTTGATGAATATGTTCAAAAGAACAGCATTTATCTGAAAACATTTTTGTCTCAGTTTTGATCAATTTAGTGCATCTTTGCTGAATAAAAAGATTAATATATTTTCAAAAAAATTAACTTAAATTTAAAAAAATCTTACTGACCAAACTTTTGAACAGTACTGTACTTCATTAATGTTTGTTCAACAAATGAAGTAAATATTGCAACCATTTTGGGTGCCATAAAAGTTTTCCTAAATACTCCTTCCATCTTCAATTAATAAGTCGAAATGACAGTCCTGTCTCTAACTCACACCACTGCTGGAGCCAATGTTGCTGTGTTAGGAAGCTCAAATCACTGAAACAAACAGAGAAATGTTCTGAAAGCACCACAGAGTTCCAATGTTGACATGTTTCCTGGAAATCAACCTGCTAGTTGACTCTGCACTGAGATAGGAGAAAGTATTTTAACATCAAGAAAATTACACACTTCAGCTGTAATGTGCACCTGCATCCATGTATCCATGAATTAGTCACTAATTACATTTTGACTTAATCGTTTCTGCAATTAGTGAAAAACGCACATTCAAGAAAGTCGGTGCACGATGCCAAGCGTCTGAATAAACATTCGAATGCGAGCCTAAATGTCTCGCCGTTGCAACAAGTTCAGATGAAAGCGGAACTATTGAAATTGTGTCCCGTGTAATGACATTAATTAGAGCATGTGCAATAATATCTGCATTCCCTTGTCTGTTCTAATTATGTGGTGATGCCGAGGGCCAGATGAAAATAGAGCTGAACTCTACGGGGTCTCATTCATAATCATTACATACACACACAATCTGAAAAGTGGGGGCATATCTAAATCTCATCAGCCTCTCTAAATACACATTAGAAATATCATTAGTTTTAAATGCCTCGTTGCCACAGATACACTCATGCGAGAAAGTACATGAAAGCATAAAACTAAACTTTCCAGACACAGCATTGTTGTGACAGATATGATATGAATGTAGAAAAATGCGTACGTTTGTCAAAGAAGGCTTTTCTTCTCTGCTGTTGTTCATGTCTTCACTCCTCAGGAAGTTTACTTTCTGTCAGCGGCTCAGCGCAACTGTGCCAGGCGTACTTGAGTCATGAATATTAATTATTTTGTGATGTTCACCCTAACTGATTTGCTAAAAAGCAGACATTTAATGCTAGCCTCAGCTGGATTACCGTTTACCATGTGTGTGTTTGTTCACTATAAAAGCATCTGATTGACAGAGGCTTCTGCAACATTAGATCAGAATTGACCTGATTTTACTTTCTTAATACACATTCCTGTTCTTATTATTTTTGTGCATGTTATTCGAAAGAAAATGAGCATCTTTAAATGCTTCTGAAAACATCTTTCCATTTTGGCTCATTTTTAAGCCCCCTTAGCTGTTATAAATTCACTGTAAACCACGGCTTCACGGGGCTTATTGCTTTTATAAAACGGTTA